CGGGGGCGGGGGGTTGCAGGGGTCCCGCCGCGGGTCTCGCAGTGGCGAGGCGGGCTCTGCCCCTTCCTCGCCCCATGCGCTGCCCTCTGTGGCCCCCAGGCCCGACTGGCCCTGCCTCTGGGCACCCGCTTAGGGTGCTGGGGGTGGCAGGGCCCCGGGGGCAGCGAGAGCACCCCCTTCTCCCCTGCCCACTGCAGCTGGCCCAGCCCAGCCCTGGGGGCACAGACTTTTTTTTAACTCTCTGAATTTAAAAAGCAAAAATAAATAAAAATAGTGATTTGTTTTTCCAGGCCCCACGCTTTATTCCCCTTCCCCACACTGGAGCCCAGGGGCCAAGCTTGGCACCAACATGGGTGTGAGCTCTGCAAAGGGTGTAAAACCCAGGGGCGATCAGGCTTTTCTCCCTTGGGGAGCCCTTTGCCTTCCTCGCTCTTGCTTTGCCCCTGAACAAATTTGAGGGGACCCGGGACTGGAGGAGGCCAAGCCAGGCACCACCTGCCCCTCAGGGTGCTGTCAAAGCCCTCTGGGGATCAGCCCTGGCCCTTAGGTGTGACTCGGGGCAGCATCACCTGGCTTGTGCCCAGGCTCGTCCTTCTGGTCCCCCTCTCAGGGATGGGGTTTGTTGCAACCTGGCAGTGACAAGTGGGGGGGACATGTGTAGGACAGGACTCAGCTCTGTGTGTAGGCTACACCCGCACCCCAGGGTGCTCCTGGCGGCACGCAGGAAGCCAGCGTCCTTCCTCTTCCTTGCTGCTGGCCGAGGAGCCTTCTGCCGGGCTGCTCTGTGCGGGTGGCGGGTGCTGGTTCCCGTCGGGTGGGCGTATGTGGTGCAAGGGGTGGAGGTGGTGAAGACCCAGAGGGGCCCAGCAGGCCGTGGAGCCAGGGTGGCCTCGCCGGCAGGGGGCTTGGAGACAACCAGGCGCCCCGGGGCAAAGCTGTCGATCCTGGGGAGACACCGGAGGTGGATGGGGCTGGGCTTCCACCGAGGATCCCCAAAACAGAGGGGCAGAAAGGCAGCCAGCCCTGGCAGGGAGCATCGGGGGAGTATTTCCAGGCTGCAGGGGGCAGGTTTTCCTCACCTGATCTCATTGTAGGACCCTTCCTCCTCTTCTTCCTCTGGCTGCTTGTGGCTGCTCTGGTGATGCAGCCAGAGGGCCAGGGCAAAGAGGGCCAGGAGCACCAGCGCCATAGTGAGCGTGACCGAGATACCCACGGCCATGCCTGGCGTGCTGCGGGCAGCTGCGAGGCACCGGCGCAGGGTGAGCAGTGCCCTGCCGAGGTGAGCACAGCACCCAGCACATCCTCCCATCCCAGGAAGCATCCCTGGTGCAGGTGCTTGCCCAGGTCCTGGTTTGGTACCCATGGACGGTTCAGCCTGGGTGCCCCGGGAAGGATTTTGGCTGCTCAAATCGTGGGTTTGGACCAGTCCAGCATGTCCAGTGCCCTGATCCTCGCAGGGGACAGAGCACCCAAGGCATCAGGCAGGACCAGGCCCCCTGATGTGCTCTGATGTCTCCAACGCTGTCACGGGGCATCACCTGGGTGCTGTCCCCAGGGCTCGGGGGTGGATCAGGTGGGGACATCGTGGCGTGGGGGACTCACCAGTGCCGACACGGAGCTCCAGGGTGCAGGAGGCAGCACCCAAGGCGTTGGCCACGGTGCAGCGGTACAGCCCCGCGGTCCCGGCTGTCACGTTGTGCAGGGTCAGCAGCGCCCGGAGCTCCCCTGGCCCCCGTGGGATGGGCAGCGTCAGCAGGGCCCCCCCGGTACGGGGCCCCTACCTCTGTCCCCCCCTGCTGTGGCTCCTCAGAGGGCCCCCCCCCAGGGCGCCCC